AGTTGTTCGTGACCTCCCCTAAGTCTATCTGTAGAATCTTACTGCTTCCTTTGCCTTTTTTCCCTTGTATGTTTGACTGAAGTTAGTGAGCATCTCTAACCTATCTTCTGAGAAACAAAAAGACTTAGCAACGAAACGCTGACTGCCCCCTCTCGTCTTCCACGTTATTGTTTGTGAGTTTGGGCTGTGTTCTTACTCCAGTTTAAACTACTTGTAGAAGTTGGACCACCCCTGTAGTTCAAAATTGAAAAGGCACAGAATGTTCAGTGAAGATTCTCTCCCGCATCTGACCCAGACCGTGTCCCGGAAGCACGCAGTGCTCTCAGCCCCTGAGCTGACGTAGACACGGGCCAGGAGTGCAGCTCCCCTGCCTTCTGCAGGCTGTTCTCATCGCTCAGCAGTCCAGCATCTTAGCCACACAGCGGCATCAATCCCTAAACTACTGCATCTGTCTGTGGCATGGGGTTCCATGTTTCTGTGTCATCATTTATTTAAGAGATCCTGTTAATGAGCCTTTAGCTTGTTTCCCACCTCTTACTGGTGAAATAACACTATAATGAAAGCCTTGTGCTAATACTTTGTCACTGTTTATGTGGAAGTATACAAGGGTGCTTGCAGAAGTTTGTGGAAAAGTAAAAGTTCATTTTAGGGGCCGACGCTGTGGCATAGCAGGTAAAGCTGCCACCTGCAGTGCCACCAGCATCCCATATGAGCACCTGTTCGAGACCCAGCTGCTCCACTTCCTTTTTTTATTTATTTATTTTTTTATTTATTTGACAGGTAGAGTTATAGACAGTGAGAGAGAGACAGAGAGAAAGGTCTTCCTTCCATTGGTTCACCCCCCAAATGGCTGCTATGGCTGGAACTACGCCGATGCAAAACCAGGAGCCAGGTGCTTCTCCTGGTCTCCCATGGGGTGCAGGGCCCAAGCACTTGGGCCATCCTCCCCTGCCTTCCCGGGCCACAGCAGAGAGCTGGACTGGAAGAGGAGCAACTGGAACTAGAACCCAACGCCCACATGGGATGCCGGCGCCGCAGGTGGATGATTAACCAAGTAGCCACGGCACCGGCCCCCCAAGACCCAGCTGCTCCACTTCCAATCCAGCTCTCTGCTATGGCCTGGGAAAGCAGTAGAAGATGGCCCAAGTCCCTGGGCCCCCGCACTCGCATGAGAGACCCGGAAGAAACTCCTGGCTCCTGGCTTTGGGTTGGCTCAGCTCTTGCCATTGCAGCCATATGGGGAGTGAACCAGTGGATGGAAGCCCTCTCTGTCTCTGTGCCTCTGCCTCTCTCTAACTTTGCCTTTCTAATAAATAAATAAATCTATAAGAGTTCATTTTAGTGTAAGAACAAATTGAAATCCACTCACAGTTTTTTCGTAGTACCTATTTTTCCTGAACTTTTTGAAGACACTCCATTGCCGCAGGATGCAACCTGCCATGGTGTTCCCAGTCAGAGTGTGTGTTATAACTGAGATAAATGGGCCGCAGTATCCTCTCTAGGGGTCATGCCAGTTTACCTCCTAGCAGAGATGTGTGAGAACATTTCCCACATGCTCAGCAGCAGTGCCTTAGCTTCTGTTTTCATCTGATTGTAAAAAAGATAGCTCGGTGTTGTTTCAATTTGCATTTTTCTTGTTATGAGTAATCTGGCCCATCTTTTCATGTTTACGAGCCAAATGTATACCTTTTCTGTGAACTGTCTTTTCATACCAAGGGCCTGTTTTTGTGTTTGATTGCTAATCTTATACTAACTAATCTGTAGGAACTCTTTTAGGGGCAAGCAGCCCTATGTCTGATGAGAGTTGCAAATATTTTTCTCAGTTTATTGTCTTTTTTTTCTTATGATAGTTTTTACCATGTAGGAAAAAATGTGTTCCCCCCGCAGTGCAGCGGTCCTTTGTTTTGCTGATAGCTGTCGGGGCCTCGATGCAGA